CGTTTCTTTGCGTGCGACGCGAGAGATGCGAGCGAAATTATGGAAAACTATTTAGATAACGGTTATTTGGTCAACCGCTCTTTAAAAGTATGATATAAACCAGTGGTTATAAAGAAACCTCTATTATAAACATACATTAGACAGCGCTTTACGCATAACCGCTATCTAATATATATTTTTAAAAGTGGATCTTACATACCGCTATCTAAGGTTGCTCAAGCGATCTCACCTAGAAAAATTGGGGATTCTCGGGTTCTGTCTCGCTCAAGCGATGAAATCATCGCTTGCGCGACAAGTGATTCTTATATGCGGTGAACCGAGCTATATGGCTAACTGCGTTGGACGTTTCGATAGTGGGTCAGTACTCGCTCAAGCGAGGAAACCATCGCTTGAGCAACGGAACATCAAAACAATGGGGACTCCCGGGTCCAGTCTCGCTCAAGCGACTGTTTAATCGCCTGAGCGACAGTTGAATATTATATGTGGTGAACCAACTTATATTAGATGGCTAACTGCGTAGGACGTTTCGTCTAAGGTTTAGTTGTCGCTCAAGCGAGGACAACATCGCTTGAGCGATGGAACCTTAAACAATGGGGACCCTCGGGTTCAGTCTCGCTCAAGCGACATAATGAACGCTTGAGCGACAAGGGATTCTATTATGTGGTGAACCAAGTTATATTATTTGGCTAACTGCGTTTGAGGTTTCGTCATTGGTTCAGCACTCGCTCAAGCGAAAAATTAATCGCTTGAGCGACGAAGCCATCGAACAAGGGGCTCTCGGTTTGTATCTCGCTTAACTGACGGTTTACTCGCTTGAGCGACAAGTGATTCTTGTATGTGGTCAACCAAGTTATATTATATGGCTAACTGCGTTGAACGTTTCCTCTGTAGATCAAGATTCGCTCAAGCGAGGATTTCGTCGCCCGAGCGACGATACCTTCAATCAATGGATTCTCTCGGGTTCTGTGTCGCTCAAGCGACAGTATCATCGCTTGAGCGAGAATTATATAAGGTGAACCAGGTTATATTATATATGTGGCTAGCTGCGTTGGATGTTTCGTCTATGGCCAATACTCCACAGCGTGCTGTTTTTGGCTGTGAAAATGTTGAGACTGGTGATCTTTATAGTCAACATGCTGATGGCATCATGGGTTTGGGCTGCGGAGATCTTAGTATCATGGATCAACTTGTGGAAAAAAATGTAATAAGCGATTCATTCTCACTATGCTATGGTGGCATGGATGTTGGAGGGGGAGCAATGGTTCTTGGTGGCATATCTCCCCCATCAGACATGGTCTTTGCATATTCAGATCATGTGCGCAGGTGTGTGTTTTAAAATTCTTATTTGTGGATATGAGATGTAATGCATTTTCTTAACAAATGCATTTTATTAATCTCACACATTTACTCTAGTTTCGGGGTGGCGACAGTCCATATTACAATATTGATTTGAAGGAGATACATGTTGCGGGGAAGCAACTGCCTCTAAATACAAATATTTTTGATGGGAAACATGGAACTGTCCTGGATAGCGGTACAACTTATGCTTACCTGCCAGAAGCAGCATTTCTTGCATTTAAAGACGCGGTAAGTTCTTTTGTAAATAGTTTCATATGAAGTTGGACTTGCAATTTTATAGTTTCATCTGTCATTTTCTAATTTAAGTTTCATGTTATTCAGTATGTAGCTAGAATAAATTGTTCAATTGGCCAAGATATAATTGCATAAAAAGCTTTTAAGGAAAAGCTGAAAATTTTTAGGCTACTAGAAATGGACGGACTAAACTTGAAAACCTAGCTTAAAGAGAGAGAGACCAGGTCTTAATTAAGAGTATGTTGGCTATGTTCCTATCTGATGTGCGCCATCTTAATAACCCCTTCCCCCTCAGGATGGAGAATGGACATTTGGAATGTGAAGTTTACTAGATTGGAGGCGGCTTATTTAAGTTAGTTCAAAGGGAGAGGATTATTAAGTTTTATAAAGAGTATTTAGGCCATGTTCCTAATCAAGGTGAGACATCTTAATAGTGGCCAAGCAATATACACATACTCTCCACTGCACGAAGAGGAGCATATTCTGAGCCTTTTTTTTTTTACCTTTCCTTGTTTTACGTAAACCGTTGCATGTAAAGCTATATGCGGATCTTATTAAGTTTTGAATGGTTTCTCAAGTATTGTGGTGAAGATTTTGGTGCCAGGTTTTTGAATACCTACCCTTGGCTTCTAGTTGGTGGGATGCAAAGTTTATACTGTTTAACCTTTTCTGAATAAATTTTAAAGGTTTTAAGAATCATCAATGATTTTCTTCTTTTAAATAGTCCACTACTACAAATAAAGCTTTCAACGTCGGTTCTGGAAGGCTTTCAACGTCGGTTCTAATAAACCGACGTTGTATCAGGCGACGTTGAAAGTTGTAACTTTCAACGTCGGTTCTAATAAACCGACGTTGAAAGTCGACTTTAGATAGCGGTTATAAGGGAACCGCTATCTAAAGTTGACTTTCAACGTTCGGTTAATTAGAACCGACGTTGAAAGTATGATTTTTTAAATTAATAATTTTTATTTATTTACAACTCCTTTATGATTTTTTAAATTAATAATTTTTATTTATTTACAACTCCTTTACCCCCTTTTATTTATCTAGAAGTCTCCCCTCTCTTCATATTATATTTTTATTAGGTCCTCCATCTCTTTATATTATATTTTTTAGAAGTTTTTTAATTTTTAAGAGAATTGTCATTGCAGGATTCGAACCCAATGACTTTAGAGTTGGAGGCTGATACTCCAACCACTAAACTACTTGAATTTTTTGATAATAACATACAAATAAATTATATTTATATACAAATAAATATATATCCGTGTAAATATCACTTGTAGAAATCCAACCCAATGACCTTGAATCTCAAATCCGATTCCAGCTTCGAAGATCTTTAACCCAAGAACTTCGAATCTCAACCCTAGCCTCAACCTCGACGAACTAGAGGCCGAACCCCAACTCTGGCGACATCGAACCCCAATGTCAAGCCAAACCCAATTGTCATGCTGTGAAACCCAACGCAAACCCAGCGGAGCTTGAACCCTAACGCATACCCTAGTGATGTCGAACTCTAACCTCGAGCCAACCCCCACTTTAACTCGGTCGCAATTAGCGATTGATTGATTGCTCAAGGATGTGTAAAAGATGATATATTCAATGTATGTTAAAAAAGTTCAAGCCAAACTGTTTTTATAGAAGATTTTCAAAACAACTGGTTTAATTAATCTGTTAAAAGATTCTTTTAATCTGTTAAAAGTGCAGTTTTAATCTGTTAAAACTTCTTTTAATCCATTAATACGTTCTTGATTCTTTAACAGATTTGTTTTAACTGATACGACAACGTTTATATCAATTAAAACACTTTACAAAAAATCTTCTAAGTTGATTTAATCGATTGTTTCGCGATTCAATCGATTGAAATACTGCAAAACTTTCTCGTAAAACTTTTCAAGTTATTTTAACTGATAAAAAAGAGTTTTAATCGATTAAAACAAGTTTTAATCGATTAAAACGCTGTGCAGAAATTGTTCTAATCGATTGAAACAAGATTTAATCGATTAAAATAGTTATGATCGGTCATAACTGCATTCTGATCGATCATAATTGAAACAATATAATAGCGGTTCCAGGTTAACCGCTATCTCAAATGTTTTTCGCTTGAGCGACACTCTTCTCGCTCGAGCGAAACACCCCCTGCACAAAATTGGCATTCTCGGGTTGTATTTCGCTTGAGTGACACTACTCTCGCTCGAGCGAAATTAGATTCTGATCGATCATAACTTGAAATGATCGATCATAATCGAGAGGATATAATAGCGGTTCCCTTATAACCGCTATCTAAAGTGCACTTTAGATAGCGGTTCCCATATAACCGCTATCTAAAGTGTGTGAGTTTTTGTGGGGAAGAAAATCAATGGGGTTTCGACGTCGGTTATACCCACACCCGACGTTGAAAGCCCATGCAGAAGGGTTTTCAACGTCGGGTGGGGGCATAACCGACGTTGAAAGCCTACTTTCCACGTCAGGCGTGCTAAAACGACGTAGAATGTGTCAAAATTCGACTTTCGACGTCGGTTGTTGACCAACCGACGTTGAAAGCATATTCAACGTCGGCTAAGATGTAACCGACGTTAAACAGCGACGTTGAAAGCATATTTTCTAGTAGTGGTCGTAGTATTTATTTCATACTCTTAATTGAGCATTTACTGATTTATAAATAATTCGACGAATCTACTGTTGATTGGGAGCTTCAATGGTTTCTTTGTATGTGGTCCCAAGGGTATCAAGATTTGAAGTATTTAATTTCGCATCTATCAGTGAGCATCATTTAAAGGTTATTCTTTCAAGGCATTGTTTTAGCAACAAAATTGTATTTAATAGACTTCATGATACCGATTATACTTATTTGGTTTGCAGATATTAAAGGAACTTCAATCTCTCAAGCAGATCAGTGGTCCAGATCCAAATTATAATGATATATGTTTTTCTGGTGCTGGAATGTATGTCTGTTACATTAAGAGCTCACATTCATTAATTGCAGTTTTCTTAACAGCTTGGGTTTGCTTGTATTTCAGTGTTGCTTCTCAACTCTCTAAAAGTTTTCCAGTGGTTGACATGGTATTTGGAAATGGTGAAAAGTATTCACTCTCACCTGAAAACTACATGTTCCGGGTTAGTGATACATAATTACTAGTATCTTTAGCTGTGTTTACAGGCTGGTGCAATTGTTATCAATTGTTAACGATTCCATAATCCGTACGTTTCATGGGTCCATTCTTTATGAAGCATTCAAAAGTGCGAGGAGCATACTGTCTTGGGGTTTTCCAAAATGGAAAGGACCCAACTACTCTATTAGGAGGTAACTTATTTGATTTTTGGAACTTTATCTATTTCATGCTTTATAATTCATGTGAAATCTTATTCCGCTCTAATTTTGTATTACATGGGTAAGCTTCTGTGGTATAGGTTCCAGCAATTCTTTAGTGATAATTCCCAAGTCATTTTTGTTCACATAGGTATTATTGTCCGAAATGAAAGTGATGTGGAATATCTTGGCAAAGATCTCATTGATTTGATGAAGTCAAAGATGAAGTCAAAAGGCTACTCTGCAGCAGTCAACAAGTCACTCAGATAAAAGAGTTAGAAGATTAGTGTGTCTAACAGAATGCTTAGGTAAAACCACTTTACCTTTTCTGCTGCATGAAGTTTCTTCACTCAATTCATTTTGCAAAATGCCTCAAAAATCGTTTTAAACAAATTAAAAACAAAAGCATTTTGACAAGAACTTTCTTAATAAAGTTTTTAACTGATATAGCTTTGAAAGAACCGATTAAAATCACTTAGAATGATCAAAGAAGTGTTTTTACAGTATTTTAATCGATACAAATTACTTTTAATCGATTAAAACCCTTTAGAACCCATTATGACCGATCAGATTTTAAATATGGGCGATCAGAACTTATTTCAATCGATTAAAACACGTTTCAATCGATTAAAATCACTTAAAGGGTCAGAATGATCGATCAGAATGCATTTATGACCGATCAGAGCTGGTTATGATCGATCAGAATTGAATTATAACCGATCAGATCGCTTTCAATCGATTAAAACGCATTTCAATCGATTAAAACAACTTGGAAAAATTTTGTGCAGAGTTTCAATCGATTAAAATAACTTGGAAAATTTTTGTACAGAATTTCAATCGATTAAAACGAGTTTCAACCGATTAAAACATCTTGGAAAAATTCTGTACTAAGTTATAATCGATTAAAACTTCTTTTTATCAATTAAAATAACTTGAAAAGTTTTATAAGAAAGTTTTGCAGTATATCAATCGATTAAAACACGAAATAATCGATTGAATCAAACTTAGAAAAGTTTTGTAAAGTGTTTTAATTGATATAACCGTTGCAATATCAACTAAAACAATTCTGTTAAAGAAACAAGAACACATTAATGGATTGAAAGGACTTTTAACAGATTGAAACGGCTATTTCAACAGATTAAAACAAACTTTCAACAGATTAATTAATGCAGCAGTTTTTGAAATTACTCTTTAAAAATATTTTTGCTTGAACTTTTTAAACATACTTTGAATATCAGTTTTTACACATCCTTAAGCAATCATTCAAGCAAACCTTAGAACTTTTTCAAGAAAGATTCGCAACAATTATTTTGAAGTTATTTTTTAAAATCTTTCTTGAGGCAACTTGCATTCTTTTGAAGAAGATGTTAGGAACAAGACAATAATAAAGGAAAGAATAAAGGAGAGAAAAATAAACGACACAAGAATTTTAACGTGGTTCGGCTAAAATATGTATGCCTACGTCCACGACTACACTAGGAAGTATTTTATTTCTGTGTGTATCTCAAACTTTACATAGGGTTGCTTATATAACAAAATAGAGAATCTCATCTCACAATCCTAATCGATGTGGGACTAAATCAAGCACCATAATACTAACAATTCTCCCACTTGGAGTTTGATTTACGTTACCACCTAGTGTAGTGCCTTCATCATCAATTTGCTCGAAGGCCAGTTGAGGCAATGCAAAGCCTCAACTTAGTTGTTGTAACAGTCTTGGTCAACATATCAGCGGGATTCTCTGCACCTGGAATCTTCAACAAACTCAAGTCTCCATCATTTATCAGGTTTCTGATAAAATGATACTTCAATTCAATGTGCTTACATCTGGAATGAAGGATTGGATTTTTAGCAAGACAAATAGCACTTTGACTGTCACTAAACAACGGAGAACCATCTTGTTCTCTTCCTAATTCTTTTAGAAGGTTCTTCAACCATATCATCTCCTTCGCTGCTTCTGAGATAGCTACATACTCTGCTTCAGTGGTTGAGAGAGAGACTCTTCCTTGAAGTTTAGACTTCCAACTGATAGCTGTACCACCCAATGTAAAAATATAACCTGTTGTGCTCTTTCTACCGTCAAGATCACCTCCCAAGTCTGCATCAGAAAACCCCTGTAAAATGAGATTACTTCTCTTGAAAGACAAATGCATCTTTGAAGTGCCTTTCAAATATCTGAATATCCACTTCACTCCTTCCCAATGCTCCTTTCCGGGATTTGATAGAAATCTGCTCACAACTCCCACTGCATGTGCTATGTCTGGTCTGGTGCAAACCATAGCATACATCAAGCTTCCTACTGCGAGATGCATATGGCACTTTAGACATGTGACTTTCTTCTTCTTCCGTTTGAGAAGATTGCCTCTTTGAAAACTTTAAGTGAGTTCCCAAAGGTGTATTCCTGGTTTTAGCATTCCCAACATTGAATCTGCTAAGCAATTTTTCTATATATTTTTCTTGAGATAAGTTCAAAATACCTTTATCTCTATCTCGGGAGATTCTCATACCAAGAATTTGCTTGGCTGGACCAAGATCCTTCATTTCAAAGCTCTCTGACAATTGTTTCTTCAACTTGTCAATTTCTGCCATGTTAGCTCCAACAATCAACATGTCGTCAACATATAAGGCAAGAATGATATAGCTATCAACATATTTCTTCACATAACAACAGTGATCTTCTTCACATCTCGCGAAATCTCGAGTTTCTCATAAACTCATTAAACTTCTTGTACCATTGTCTCGCGCTTGTTTTAATCCGTACAAACTTTTATGAAGCTTGCATACAAGATTTTCTCCGCCTTGTACTTCAAAACCTTTTGGCTTGTGTCATAAAAATTTCCTCTTCAAGATCCCCATGTAAGAATGCAGTTTTGACATCTAACTGCTCCAAATGAAGATTTGCTGCAGCTTACTATACTCAAGATAACTCGATGGTAGTCATCTTGACAACGGGAGAGAAAATTTCGTGAAGTCAATTCCTTGTCTTTGTTGGAACCCTTTCACTACGAGTCTAGCCTTATATCTTTTGCTGCCATACTGGTTCTTCTTTCAACCTATAGACCCACCTGTTTTGCAAAACTTTCTTTCCTTACGGTAGCTTGGTTAAAGACCATGTTTTATTCTTCTGAAGGGACTTTATCTCATCTTCCATTGCTAGCTCCCACTTAATAGATTCATCTCCCTGCATAGCCTCGACAAAATGCTCCGGCTCCTGACATCGAGTCAACAACAAATAATGCAATGAAGGGGAATACCTTTGTGGTGCTACAATTGTTCTGCTAGATCTTCTAACCAAGATTTCAGGAGTTGTCGACTCTACTATTTGTTCGAGTTACTGTCTAGGGCTCGACATAGGCTCTACTTGTATATTACGCCTTCAGTTGACTACATCACTTTCGAAATTTCTTCTAATGATACTTGCTCTAGTTGTTTATTTACATTTGCGGATTCTGCAATCCTGTCTCTATAGAACATGTTTTCATTAAAAGTAACATTTCTACTTCGATAATTTTCTTGTTTTGGTCATCCCAAAACCTGTAGCCAAACATGTCAGATCCATAACCAATGAAATAACAACGTTTTGCCTTAGGGTCCAATTTATCTCTACTATTAGAGTCTAACATAACATATGAAGCACAACCAAAAACTTTCGGATGTGAAAGATTTACCTCTTTTCCAGACCATACTTCTTCAGGTAACTTATAGTCTAAAGGAGCTGATGGTCCTCTGTTTATGAGATATCTTGCTTGTGCTTATTGCATACTGCCCAAAATACCTTGGGTAATCTGACTTGGATTCTCATACATCTTGCTCTCTCATTCAAGGTTCTGTTCATTCTTTACGCCACACAGTTTTGTTCGGTGTTCCTGGAGCTGTCTTGATCATTCGATCCCATTCTCTGAACAAAACTCCTTGAATTGACTACTTGTCATATTCTCCACCATTATCGAGACTTCAAACATTTGACCTTTAAACCTGTTTGATTCTCAACCTCCTTTTTCCACCTTTTAAACACGAGAAAACACATCGGATTTATTTTTAAGAAAATAAACCCATACCTTTCTTGTAGAGTCATCAATGAAGGTTACATAATATTGTGAACCTCCAAGGGATTTCACTGAAGCTGGCCCCCAAACATCTGTATGCACTAGTTCTAGTCTTTCAACTTTAGACGACTTACTTGTTTTGGAGAAGCTAACCTTTTTCTGCTTTCCAAAGATACAATGTTCGCAAGGTCCAACGTCAACATGCTTCACGTTAGGTATTTTACCTTTTGATATCATGAGCTTCATTCCTTTCTCACTCATATGCCCAAGCCTCTGATACCAATTGTTAGGAACAAGACAATAATAAAGGAAAGAATAAAGGAGAGAAAAAATAAACGACACAAGAATTTTAACGTGGTTCGGCTAAAATATGTATGCCTACGTCCACGACTACACTAGGAAGTATTTTATTTCTGTGTGTATCTCAAACTTTACATAGGGTTGCTTATATAACAAAATAGAGAATCTCATCTCACAATCCTAATCGATGTGGGACTAAATCAAGCACCATAATACTAACAGAAGAAACTCTCTGCAGATTTGGATAAACTGGTTTGAGCTTTCTAGTTTCTTCTTTGTAAATTCTCTTTCATTCTTTTGTATTGTGTTGTGCCTGGAATTTGGGCACAAGTTTCTCTGCAACTGGAAGTTGGTTGTGGAAGTTATCAAGAACTGGAATTTGGTTCTTGGTGAAAGGTTTGGTGCCTGGTATTTGGGCACTGGTTTCTCTGCAGCTGGAATTTGGTTCTTGGTGGAGAGGTTAGGTGTTGGTGCACTGGAATTTGGAGCCTTGGTTTCTCTGCTAGTTGGAATTTGGTTGTAGAGGTTATCAAGAACTGGAATTTGGTTCTTGGTGGAGAGGTTAAGTGCAGGAAGCTGGAATTTGGTTCTTGTGATAGATTAGGTGTAAGATTGTTGAATCTGTAAAACATTTAATCTAGTGGAACCAGCTGGAATTTAGGTTGAGAGCTTGGACGTAGCCACGGTATTGGGTGAACAGGTATAAAATACGGTGAAATCTTTCTTAACCTCTCTCTCATTTAAATTCGATTCTTGCGCTTATTTTAATTGAT